ACAGATGCAATGGTTGTACTTCTGCATTTCACTAACCTGACTTTGCCTATCTTGTTGGTGAAGGTGAACTTGACAGGAGCTGCGGGATAGCTATCCGGTACCAATTCAAATGTAATGTAGAATTTAGCAAATGCACGGAAATTTGAAAATTCAACTTCAACTCTGAAAAAAAAAATATTTCAAGTATTTCAACTAATGGATTTTCAACATGAAATATACTTGTATAAACCCAATTAGCTTGGGGGTGGGTATCATTCCAGTGAAAGATTTGAAAACTCTATTGCTTACATTACTGCAGTGTATTTGGTAGGACAAAAATGAATTGGAAAGAATTTGGTCTGGATCTGAGCTACACAACTACTCTATAAATATTCTTAATGCAAAGCTAACCCTCTAATTGGACCACCCCAGAATCTCAGGTCCTACAGATGGTTAGGAAATGGAGGGCAAACTGTACAATTTCTAGTGAAGTACAGAATAAAGTCAATTTATCATACATACTTGGTGTTATGTATCTCGACCGGATGCCAAAACTGCACATGCCGAATATCACATTCAAGACTTCTGGCATGACAAGCAATATAAGATAATTCTTCCAACATCTGTAAGTAAAAATAATAAATAAATAAAAACTGAAGACTAGTAAATTAAACCACCATAGATCAAATAAAAAATATACCATCTGTGGCAACAATGAACTTTGAACTTGTATATGACACAGTTCAAAACAATTACGGTACCATAAGTTTTTTTTGAAATATATTTACCTGGTTTCTGAAAAATATTTGGAGAGTAAGTTAATGAAACATCCCTTGAAAATTTGAGCAAAAAAGCTCTAGAAACAGCTTTTAGTTACGATATTTACTTCAAAAATGTTTTAATTAATTACTAGTAGCCAGCTGGAAATACTACATAAAAATGTTGGACAAGTGGTGACTACACTTCAGACGGGTTAGTTGCTAATACAACCACAGCCGAGCAAGGGAGGCGTGGCTTGTATGGTGAAGAGGTTGTAATTAGCAACTACCTTCTGAGGGGGAGCCTTGCATGTTTTCTCACCTTTGGTAGGCAGTTGGTTGTTGGATATTTCTGAAGTAGGGTCTTGCAATCAACAGCTTCTTGCATCATGATGTGCGACAAATGCGCTGAGGGAGCTGAAGTGTTCTCAAGGTATGACTCAAACTGTACCGATGAAACAACTCTCTCTTTTACTACATTCACAGGGAAAGAAAAAGGAAACAATAATCAACAAATGATATTCAAACTTTAGCCAGTTAGGCAGTCAGTATGGTTTAATCACTAAGCTATTTAGTCAGGTTTAACCAATTAAGTAGTAAGTTTGGATTGTGATTTTTGTCAGGTTTAGCCAGTTAGGTATTAAGCTAGGTTTAGTAATTTAGGTAGCCAGTTAGGTAGTCAGTTTAGGTTCAGTGATTTAGGTAGTTAGTCAGGGTTAACCAGTCAACTAGGTTTAGTGACTTACTAATTATCAGAATTGGACAGTAAGTAGTCAATAGGTTTAGGAAATTAGGAGGTCAGTCAGGGTTGTTAGTCATAAGGTTAGTCAATTTTAAACACTATATTTCATAAAGATGATTCATCAAGTGCATCGATTAACAGCCTCAATCCTCTATTTCAAAGTTGTTTTAAGAAAAGAATAATCCTGATATTTCCCCCAGGATTGAAACCAGGACCTCAAGATTGGGAAGCAAGCACCTTAAGCACAATGCTTACTTACAATCATTGAGAACTGCTCCACCATATGTAACTCGCAGCCAGAGGGAATCGTAAAGGAATGCCACGGCACAACTGGAATCATCCCACTCTTTAACTTTACCTTCACACAGTCTGAAAAAAAAATCAATGTAGATTATTTCAGACAGCCATACGAAACATAACTGGAATAAATACATATACAGTATTCTACTACTGATCATAGTGTTACCTTTCTATGCGTTTGCACTTGTTGTAAGCTGTTTGTAAGTTCTCGGCAACATTATCAACCTCCTCTACTTTGTTTCTCTTTTCCTCTAAGTCCTGAAGCTCACTCTGTACCCATTCCTCCTCTTTTACCAACAATTCATATTCCCTAAAAGTAAGGAAGACAATTTCTCAATGAAATATACTGGCACTTTATATTAGTATTATAAAAATTATAATGTTTGCTATACATGTGATTGAAATAAAAAGGAAAATCACAGATATTTGTCAGAGCATAATGTATCATTAATAACAACTTACTTTTGCAATGTTGTCTGGTTTTCCTGCATACCCTCTAGCTCCCTCTCCAGTAGGCTAATTTTACCCTGTTGTTCAATGTACAGTTGTTGCTGCTCCTCATCTGGCAGGTCTAATGATTCCAGCTCATTGATAGCTGTGTCTAAATCAGTTTCATCTAGTGAAAAATATAACACAAATTAATTAAATACTTTAAAATATATAATGACATGAACTGCCACAAAAAACAGTAAGGAAGACAAGGCAGTTACATGACAAATGAATCAAGTGTTAGAAAAAAATCAGGAAGCAAGGAGAGTATGGAAGACAAAAGACTAATGCATTGAAAGAAGTTGGATGCCTAAAATCAAGGAAGAGAGAATTTCAGTAACTACACAAAGAAAGGAATATTTAAAATATAATAAACAGTAAAAACTATTAATACATGTTTACATACATTTCTCGAGCTCCTGTATATCACTGTCAATCTGGGTGACAAATTCTGAAATGCTTTCAACTGTCTTCTTCAAATGGTCATGACGCTCCTATGAAAATATATAATTAGTGTTAACTCACATTCTACTTCCTATCAACAAAATTCTACAGCCTTAGCAATGTTATCAGCAATGCACTCCGCTACAAACAAGATTACAACCTTAAGCAAGATTTTGTAATACTTTAAAGTCTAGTGAAATTATTATCATTATATCTACAGAAAGTAAAAAAAAACCTCCTAATTTCCTATTGCTACATTGGTCCTACAAAAGAGCATGAAGGTGGAAGGAAAAAAATTTGATATTTAAAAAAAATGGGAGTGTGAGGTAAACAGGAATTAAGGTCATTGCGTTAATACTCAATAACTTCTTGAATACAAAGTTCAAATTTTCACGCTGGCAGTTGAGCTTACAGATCAAAAATATGATTGTATTTTTATTTGAAATAATCATTAGCAACGGTAGTGGATTTAAAAAAAACAAGGTATTAAAAAGTCTTGTCTTAATGATATCTTCTAAGAACAACCTGACAATATTATCTTTTCTCTGTATTCATGACTTTAGCTCTACAGCAATTTGAAAAAGAGCACCATTATCAGTACTCTCTACAATGACATCCCCTCACAACCAGATATGCTTTTAACTAAAATAAAAGCCTAACAAATTTAGACAAGTAAGATGGATCGTGGAACTCACCGTGACTGATGTGAGTATTGATGACAGCATTTTGGATTTCCATTCCTTCCAGCTTGTTTTTGTCCCTTTCCGACACACTTGGTGTAGCTTCTGAACCCGTTTTTCAAACCCTTTCATTTCAGTTGACTATAACAAAAATATAAATATATTTCTCAATATAAACTAATATTATATAAATTAACCTGACAAATCAATACAAATAACTATAAAATATAACATTATAGTAATATAATACAATTTAAAACATCAGAAAATATTAATGATTACAATTATAATATTCTATTACAAATGTCTCATGTATATTCTTAGCCTCAAAACCATCAATATAATTTAAATCAAAAAGTACAAAATTATTGCAGAGTTCAGATTACGTGTTTTCCACTCTTATGCCTGGTTGCAGAACACTTCTTTTTAGCAGTAATGTCTGTTGTATATAAAATCACTTTCATCACCATGGTTCACAAAATGTTATGCAATCACCCCTTACATTTCACCAATTGATTTCTCCATTGAAACGTCTCATCCGAAAGTGAGAGTTATCGTAACTTGTATTTTAGCCCTCCAGGTAAAGCTGGGCACTCACTGTGCTAAATGGTCACCGGGCGATGCAATTCTACGCAGAAAGCAACACGACGATGCGCACGCAATGGATCGTTTTTAATGACGGTCGTTCAGACTATGCAATGGGTCGTTTTTTAATGACGATCAGTTCAGACTGTCACCGACAATCAGCAGATGGCGTCGCGTTGTCTAGCACTCACAGGGAATGCATTTGCATTCGTCGTATGACAGTTGTACGATGCAATGAGTGGCCGGCTTAAAACACAAGGAAAGACCTGATGGAAGTGAACAAGGTACCAAGGGTCTGTAAGGACCACCATGCTTCTGCACACACATAATGGCTACCATTAGTCTAGTCGACTGAGCTTAGCTTCTCTCTTAAGATACTTACACCTATAATCATCTTTTTTTTCATCTCTTCCTTGTGATACAGCTTCTCGGTCAGCTCAGACACTGAACGCTCCATCCTGTTTTTTTTTTAATGGAAAGTATAATGAGTATAAAATATTTGTCAGATAATTAAATACTATCCATAATTATTATCATAGGCTTCGGAGGGGAAAATTTTATGTGTTGTACAAATAAATATTCTAGCATTGAAGCATTTGAGAAAATAATCATCATGAGAATCAGAATCATAAAGACGACAAAAAAAAAAAAAAAGGTGTGCTGCCAAAATTTAGTTGAAAATTTTTGAAATCTAGGGTCAAAATTTTAATTGTAGAAACTAATTATAAATTTGTATCATGATCTTCTGATTCAAAATAACAATTATTGCTTTTAATATTGTTACTTTTTTTAATCGTTTTGGAAATACAGATAAACAGCATCATTTTGGAAAAGTGCTATATAAATCTTATTATTAACAATGTTATCTTCAACTCAAAGCATCATTATAGATGTTTATTATCATATCAAATAATTGTTTCTCTTACGTTTCAATATTCTGGCTGACATACTCCACTGCCCATTCATACATCTGGCACTTTGGGGTGTCGATGCAGGATGACCGCAGACAGCTTGCAAGGTCATTTGGTTCTGATCGCTAAGACAAATACAGATAGAAAATAATAATTAGTAACAAATAAAAATACAAAATAACAACAATATTAAAAGCAATTTTTTTTAAAAATATAATTTTTTATGTATATTTTTTATGGACATTGAGTAAAAACTCACTAATGAGGTAGAATCAACTATTCACTATGTTGATAGATATAATCCCTATCCCATGTAAATTTGGTAAACTAGATATTAAACAGATAATTTTTATATACCACTTATTCTTAATTGCCAATACAAACAACTTGATGAGAGGGCCTCTTCTCTAAGTAAACTTAATTACTATAACATTATGTCAGAGAACCACTCCCATCCAGCAAATTTCAAAACAAATAACACTGATAATGTTAGTAGCATACAGACAATTACCTGTAGTACTGGCATTAAACTTCTTCTATCGTTGGTTGCTGGTGGTAGTGATGTTAAGTTGGCACTTAGGAATTTCTCCAAGAATTCACCCACAGTGATCTCATTACCTGCCGATTTTGCCTTGAAAGAAATATATCAAACCACATTGTAAATTTTTCAATTTTAATTAAATTTAAAAACAGGCAATTTTAATATGAAAATGTTTTTAAATGATAATGAGATGATTAAAAATATGAGATTATAAATGTATTAACAGGCAAATTCCACTTTGTATTTAATGAGACAAATCTGACTAAGGTGACTAATATCTGTTCAGACAACTGTGCAAGCATAATGGGGGTCTGCAAGGATCATATATAAATTTCTACTAGAGACTCAAATAAGAGTAAACATTTTTGGTTAAATTGACCCAGGGAACAAGGAAATTTGTGGTTCAGTGACCATGACCACACATTGACTATGATTTATTTTATCAACAGTAGGACAAACGTTCATTGTCAGATCTGTTCTCTCTAGACACTATGAGAGCATGTGAATGGAATCTTATTTAATGCAAGTACTTATAGTTCTCAAAGATTCAGTGGACAGTGACCGATCCTCAGAAGTGTTTCTAAAACATCAATTCTTTCATCATTTTCAAGGCTGAGCTTACCGTATCGAGAAAGCTTAAGTTATCCATTACTGTGCGGTCCAGTATTGACTTTGAGAGACTTTCTTTTTGACTGCCATCTTCATCTGAACTGACACTTGGTTTACAATTACTTGCCACTGAAGTAGAACAATTGTGCATAAATAATCAACCATTACACAAAAGTATAGTTGCACAGTATGCATTACTTGTTAAATACTCTATTTGCACTGTCACTAAAGTATTTTGGGCTCCTAATGTGATTTGTAATAAAACCAAGTTGATGCTAGATTGTTAAAATTTTGGATTATGGTTATGCTGGGGCAACACAATTTCTATTTTTGTGCTAACCATTGAATTCTTAGCTAGACATGACATATAATATGGATAAATTTTAAATGATATAACCCTGATTTAATCGAGAAGAGTTTAACAAATACTATAAACAATTGACTAACAAATATATCCTACCCTCATTTACATGAAAAGTTGTAGCTGCAGTTAAATCTAGGTTCTCCAGTTCCTCTATTTCATCTGGTGGAAGTTCTTCAAGAATACCTTTTGTTGACTCTTCTTTTTCCCGAGTCACAAACGTGTCATGTAAATCTGTCTTTAGAAGTTTACTATGTGGGCGTGATTCTTCAAGACAGTCCACCTCTTGCTTTCTCTTTGCACGTGGAAATACCTCTTCAGGACATTCCGCTTGTCGGCAACTTTCAGATTCACCTGCTATTGTGAATGTATCTGCATCCCCACTTTTCAAAATCGTGAAAGTTCCTGCAGAGCGATCTTTGTCATCAGTACCCAAGATATCAATTCCTATGGAACTCACTTCAGAATGCTCAGACTCTGCCATATTTTCTGTAACTGGTACTGACGTGCTTTGACTGGCAATGGATGATGAAAGTTGTTGTAAAGCTTTTACAGAGTTCATATTCATCGTCTCAGTTTCTAGGATACGAGTTCCTAAGTCAGCAATCTGAGAGATGTTACTTTGATTAATCATATCTGGAATCTGTGCATGTGAGTTTGTAATGTCACTCTTCTTGCTCGTCAGAAAAATGTTGATATCTGATATTGAGCCAATCATTTCAGATTCTGTATTGTGAATCTTAGCAACTGGTTCTTCTCCATCACTTTCAACCACCTCACATTGCTGCAAATGATTATCAATGCAAGTTAGATCCATTTTGTCAGATTCTTTTTGTAGACCAATGATGCCAGTATCTTCTGGAATACAATATTTTCTTTCAATATCTGCTTGAGAACTCTCATTGCATTGCTGCAAAACACCTTCAACACATGATGTAAGTTCCATTCTTCCAGTATCTTCTCCTATGGAGAATAATTTGGTAGTTTCTGCAGCAGGTATTTTGCATCTATTACTCTCTGGCATTTTTTCTTGAGCTGTTTTCTGATGCTGATCGACAAATGATGTTGGTAGCAAACCACCAATACATGATGTTAGTTCCATCCGTCCAGTATAATCTCCTATGCCATAAACTCTTGTCTTCTCTGCAGCAGGTGTTTTCCTACTTATTGGAGTTTTTGCTTGACTTGTTTGAGGAAGTCCTCCAATATAAGATGTTATATCCATCTTTCCAGTATTTTCTTCCATGCGAAAAGTAGCTGTTGCATCTTGCAGTCCTCCTATGCAAGATGTTAGTTCCATCATTCCAGTATCATCTCCTGTGCCAAAAACTCTTGTCATTTCTGCTGCAGGTATTTTTATATTATTTGAAGGTTTTACTTTATTTGTTTGTACAAAACCTCCAACGCAGGATGTTAGTTCCATTCTTCCAGTATTCTCTCTAATACCAAAAACAGTTGTCTCTGCAGCAGCTTCATTGCTTGTATTGCTCATGTGAAGACTTCCAACACAGCTTGCAAATTCCATCCTTTCAGTATCTTCCGTCATGCCAAATAAATGTGTTGTCTCTGCAACAGATGTTTTGCTTCTATCTTTCAATAAAGTTTGATGTGTTGACACAGGCTCTCCAACACAAGATGTCATTTCCATTTTTCTAGTATCCTCTGGCATGGTAGTTGTATCTGCAGCTGGTGGTTCTTTTCTATCACTCTTTGGAGTTTTTGGTTGATTACTTTGTAACAAACCACTGACACAAGATGTTAGCTCCATCCTTCCAGTAACTTGTGTCATCTCTACAGAAGGTATTATGTTTCTGACATTCATTGGAGTTTTTCTTGGATTTGTTGGCAAAAGTCCTCCAACACAAGATGTTAGTTCCATCCTTCCAGTTTCTTCTCCCATACCAAAAACTTGTGTTGTCTCTACAGCAGGTATTACGTTTCTCACACTCACTGGAGTTTTTACTTGGTTTGTTGGCACAAGTCTTCCAACACATGAGGTTAGCTCCATTTTTCCAGTATCCTCACCAATACTAACAGCTGATGTCATTTCTGCAACAGTAATATTGTGTTGGCCTATTTTTGAAGATTGCTGCAAAAGTCCTCCAACACAAGATGTCAACTCCATTCTGTTAGTGTGTTCCCCTAAACCAAATATTCTAGTTATTTCTGATGCAGAACAATGATTTTCAAATCCTCCTGAAGTTCTTTTAAGATTTTCTGGCATTGGTCCTCCGACACAAGATGTCAGTTCCATTTTGACAGTTTCTTCCTCCATATATTTGGGCATCTCTAAAGTTTGGCCTTTAGATTCTTTCCCTGATTTGCTTTCTTGGTTCATCTCACCTTGAGAACTAGTAATTTCCTGCCCTAATACATTATCTTTTGCGCAAAGACTTTTTGATAAGGTTTGTTGAAAAGGAGTACTTGTATACTTTGGTCTAATAATCTGACCAACATTGGCTGTGAAGTCCATACCAATGGTAAAGTCATTGACAAATGCCCCATGCGTTGTTCTATCAATATATTTATGATCATTAGTAGAAGTACAATTAATAACACTTGAATTTCTTCTGCTTACGTTCTCATCGTCTACTTCCTGGATAATGCTAAGAGATTTATTTCGGAATGATGGCTTGTAGTCTTCATGTCCTGCCACTGAAGAACTGCTGGATAACTGAATTTGTCCAAGAGGTGTTGTTTCATCCATATCTGCATCTCCACCATCAGCAAACATTACTGTCTGATCTGCAACCTTCTTATCTTTCAAATCTTGAGAGAATGATGCCTGTAACACATTTCCAATACACTCTGTCATTTCCATTAATCCTGCATCCTCCGTAGTGAACAGTCTTGTTCGATCCTCTGGTAATATGTGGCTAGTTCTACGCTGGCTTTCTTCAGTTCCCACACGAGATATACTAAGTGCATTACTTGGCACACATTCTGTCATATCCATATCACCTTGGTCATCATTGGAGTAAATTCTGGTTTTGTTATCTGTAGTAAGTCAATATATCAGATTTTTAAAAAATAATATTTTTTTTAGCATAAACTACATCTAACCATGTCTAACAAATAAATGATATTACATGGAGTATTTCACTTTATTCCAACATTTGTAGGATATTGATAATACTTGAGTTAAAAAACTCTGAGCAAGTCTGGACTATGAAAATTTAGTTGAAAATAGAACATCTTACGTCTTCCAGTTACAAAGCTACTATAATGTAAATGAATGCCATTTAAATCATCAAAGAGACAGAAGTAGATTAATCCAGTACCTCTCCATTACAATGAATATTTCATGTGCAAATATATTTAAAATATACGCACACCCTCTTTTAAGAAACTACTGGGCCTTATGTACCCTTTCCCTCCAAGGCACCGTGAATTTATTGAACCACCACTGTACACATGAAAACGAACGATTTGTGGTGCATGAATCGATTTGTGGTGCATGAATTACCTGCCAACTCAAGAGCACCACTCCTCTTTGCTGCTAACAATATGGAGTGATCTTGACTCTCAGAAAGCATTACTGTCTGATCTGCAATCTTCTTATCTTTCAAATCTTGAGAGAATGATGCCTGTAACACATTTCCAACACCATCTGTCATTTCCATTTTCTCTGCATCCTCTGTAGTGAACATTCTTGTTTGATCCTCTGTTAATATGTGGCTCGTTCTACAGTTCTTATTTTCTACTTGGGATATACTAAGTGCATTACTAGGCACACACTCTGTCATATCCATATCAGCTTGGTCATTGGAGAAAACTCTGGTTTTGTTACCTGCAGTAAAGTCAATAGATCAGATAAAAAAAAAATTAGCATAAATTACAACCAACAAATATGAAAACTTCATTAATTCTTTAAAAAGAAGTTAAGACATTAAAAAATGCAACATTTTGTGTCTTTCTGAAAGAAATTCCATCACAAGAAGCCACTGTATAAAGTAAAAAATGCCATCAATATTATAAGGAGACATAAATAGAATACCTCAATTACTGTGAATATTGAATGTGCAAACAAATTAAAAATATTGATACACACACTTCATAAAGTTACTGTACGTGGTGTCCTTATGGACCCTACGACTTAAAAACATTATTGAATCACCACTGCACATAAAAAGGAACAAAGATGTGTGATAAATGAAATACCTGTCAACTGAAGAGATCCACTCCTATTTGCTGCTAACAATATTGAGTGATCTTGATTCTCTTTGTCAATACCAGTACTTTGAATCACCACTTCCATATCTGGTCTGTACTGCACCAACTGGTTTACATCTACACAGCTCTTGGTCTCTGGAAATGAACTATCTTTAGTGTAAGAAGTAATGCCTGTGTCTGTTTGAGGTAAACATCCAGTCTGCAGATTATCATTATTACACTTGGGAGTCATCAAACTTCGCAGGAATTCACTTGTATTGCTCCTATGTTGAGTGGGTTTGATTAAAGACTGGAGGAAAGAGTTGGTGTCAGTCTTTTGACTTTTCCGCTCACTTGTGGATGAATTCATCAATCCACCGTAGCAGTTGGTGAGATCCATAAATCCTGTAGTGTCATCACTCTGAAAGACTCTTGTCTGGTCCATTTCAGCAGCTACAGAAACAGAGTCCCCTGGCTCTGTTGCAGTGCTACTACTGAATGATACTGGCATTAAACATGAGTAAGACGGACCTACAAATGTCGGGTTTGGAACATCAATATCATGCTGGATAGAGGCATCACTCTCTGTCTCTGAAGATGAAATTCTACTTCTTTGCATAGTGTGATGATTTTCAATATCAGTAAGAATGGCTCCATGAGTTTGGGTAAAATCCATAGTCATTGTTAGTTCCTTTGGTTGGAAATCAACTCTATCTTCTTGCAGAACCATGCTTGCTGGCAAAGAATTCTGTTCGGTCTGGTCTTTTATTGGGGCTGACAACAAAGAATCAAGTCCTACACAGTAGATATAATTGACATGAATTCATAAAATTTCACCTTTTCTACATTACATCACAATGAGGTGGATGATGCTTACTGTGAAATGAAGGTGGCAATACTCTACTATACTATTTAGTGTCATTTTGAGCATAATTGAGTCAATTTCAGCAATTTGTTATAGTTGTGTTTTGTATTGAAAGTGACAAAGCAGTAACAAAGACTCAGTCTAGGCATACAGCACAATACCAATACACCCTCCCCAACTCAAAAAAAAAAAAAAGCCCCACAAAAAAACTTATTATAACTGACATAATCCAGCTCTTTAAAATAATTTGAATTAAATATACACCTAAATACTAGTAATATAATATTATTTGTAAAAAAAGGGCATGTATATGTTTGCATGAGGAAGTAACAATGATAAATGCTGTTGGTATATTACAATAGTTCCAAAAAGAACTGTTTATGTTGAGAGTGTCTCTCTCAAAATAACACAAATAAATAACATAAATAAATAATAACACTATAACATATTAAAACAAGTTGTTATGCCAAAAGGTTGGTAGATTACCTTGAATTGTAGGTCCAGTAACAACATCCTCATCTCTGTAATAGTAATGTATAAAAAAAACAGTTATGTAATAGAAATATGAATGTTTACAAACTATATCAACAGTACAGCACATCTTTAAATATATTTGCTTTGCCTTACCCAACTTCAGAGGTTGGCTGATTTTTATTGTCCATCTGATCATGTGGTGAGTTCCAGACACCCAATGTACTGTCTCTTATACACATCTAGATGTGTATAAGAGACAGATCTTCCGTCATGCCAAATAAATGTGTTGTCTCTGCAACAGATGTTTTGCTTCTATCTTTCAATAAAGTTTGATGTGTTGACACAGGCTCTCCAACACAAGATGTCATTTCCATTTTTCAAGCGCCCAGAACTAAAATCGAAGATTTTACAGAGAATGTGGCACTGGTGGCGCCAGGATTTGCCTGACAGGGGGCCCCGAGGTCCCTGATGGAGGGGCTGGCAAAAAGTGGGCATGGTCGGGCATCACTTAAAATCTCTCTAAAGTGTTCCAGGGGGCTTGGGCCCCCAACCCCGAAAAGTATGGCAATTTAGGGGTTTCAGGGGCTTCTTTAATCGATTTTGGAGTCTAATATGTAGAAAATAATTATACATTTTTTTCTCCCTGACGAATGTATTTTTTCTCCCTGACAGGGGGCCCCCTGGCTCCCCTGCTGGTGCCACCCCTGGACTGTGGGGGTAACATTCCGTGGGGATAACATTCCAAAGAGTAAATCTTCCACAGTCCAAACTTGTATTTTCTGTGTGCATTAGTTTTACTGCGAGAAATGGTAGAACTATACCAAGCCCAGTCGGCCTGCCCCCCCCCCACATCATTTAAAAAAAAATTAATTTTTACAATGGAGAAAAATGAAAATATTAAATTAAGTGCCATTTCCGTCCATCTGGAGATGCCATAATCATAAATTTTCTTACGCCACTGTGAAAGTCCCTCCCTAAGCTCTGTACATTTTAAATTTGTGGATCCACCACTGGAACAAGTCTCATTGTACTGTTAAAGTATTGGGTACAAAATTCTCTAAATTACTACAGAATACATTGATCCCCTACCTAATATTCTCTTTGATTTGGTTGGGATCCAAGTCTCCAAGGGCCATCCGAACAGGAGATATCTCGGTCTTTAAAATCTGTTGGAATATGACGTATGTAATAATAATAATTAAAATAATAAAAATAATGAAAATAATGATAATGAAAATACAGTAATTGTAACGAGTATGACAATATATTATTAATTGTTATTATGTAACTCTTAATTAATTTTTTTAAAGATCTTTGTACTGTAAACATTTCTTTTAACAATTCAATTTTTTAACTTATGAAATTATGTTGTAATTTTGATGTTTTTTTTTTAATGAATAAAGATACTGTATCTTGATATCATATTAATAATGAGAATTTATTCATTTGTTTCTTAATAGGTTTACCCAAAAATTGCTGAGCATTTTGGTGGCCTACATCTTCAGTCAACAATTACATGTGTAAGTCCAATATACAGGCAGATTGGCACATACTTCATTGGTCGAGAATCTGTCTCTGTTGGCAGCTGATTGTTGCAGCAGTCTGGGTGGATTATCACTGATAATATGTAGTACATGGCTCATCGCAATGTGTGCTGCCTCAATTCTCACCATTTATTAGTTATCATATTATTATTCTGTAAATTGTTTTGTTTTTTTGTTTTTAAATATTTTGGTAGGGTGTATTTATACGTTCCCTAATGTTTCATGCTTAGGAAAACAAATTTCTGTTTTCTGCTCTGTAATAAATTAAATCTTGAATCTCACTTACGAAAAAATATCAACTACTGTACTTACAGATGACCGACGAGATTTTTTCTTTTTTTGGTTGTTCCTATTAATATAAAAAATATATAACATACATTAAATTGGTATTTATGGCGTATTTACCATTGGTCATTTGTCAACACACTTTACTTAGTGTGCTTATCAAATGAAATGAACTGAACACATTCCACACAAATTTCACTTAATAATCTTAATAATTGGTTTTAGCACCCTATAATAATCTCTCAGAGCGCTATTACACACACACACACAAAATAAGATATTAAAAAGCAGAGTGTATCTGTGCAAGTGCAGTGTATGCAAAAATGATAATGGTACTAATATCAATAATTATATAAATTATTATTTTATCAATAAAAACATGCCAATGGGTATCATTCAGGAATGAGTATAATGAGCATGCATTTTAATGTTTCTAACTCATTCTTTTCTTAGCCTTTATTTACCTATTTTTTGTAGCCACAGCGTCGTCCACTTCCATTTTCTGCAAAAAACTAATAATTGATTCATCAACATCAATCAAGCACAGGACATATTG